ATTTAGTGAGAGACAGAAACCCGCAGCTAGCATCACTCCACGTCTGCTGAACACCTGTGCTTGCTCCTGCAGGCCCATGCTTCCCGAATTCCCCAAGCAGCAGCTTTTACAGGGAGCAACTGCTGGGTACAAGGAAGCAACAGAGCGCTCGGTAGAGAGACAAGGAGGGAGGCAGCAGAGGCCATACCTGCCATAACAGTACAACAATTCTCAAATCAGCATTTTACAGCAAAATGAGTTATGTCTGAATACATTTGAGTTACATTAACAATGAGGGGTTATTCACCCCTTGCTATAATACCTAGGTAACGCTATGAGATACCACCTTAAATGCCAGACAGATCTCTTGACCCCAGCATGTAAAGAGAAGGGCCAAGATTCGCTCGCATTTACTCCCACGGGTCTGTTGTCTCACTCATCCCTTCCTGTTCTTGGAGCAGCTCCACCCAAGCACCACTCCCACATCTGCAAAAAGCCAGATCATCCTCATAGTTAGTTGCTGGAGTCAGGGCTTAATTTACACAGCCAAGTACTTAAACACAGCATGCTCTTAAATTTGGCAGAAAACAGAACAGAATTCAGTACATATTGATAAAGTCAGCAAAGAGGAAATAACTTCAGATCTAACATTCTTTGCAATATATGTAAATTTAAGGATATATATAGCATATGATTTCCACTTAACAATCTTGGGTGAATGAATAGGACATGAGGCTGGTATCGATTTCAGTGGAAATAAATATCAAGAATTATTGACCCAAGAGGTAAATAGGGACCAAAAATAAGATGGGTTCAATACTTATCTTATGGAACAATAAATCACAAAAAAAACCCCAAATCAATATATGTACCGTAACAATCTTTCTAATGGCATGGCTAAAATTTCATCTTCAGTGGATGTCACTCAAGCTGCAAACAGAAGCCATACTAAAGTTTAAATATTCAACTGTAGTATTCTAAAAATAGGAAATGATCATGTAAAATCAATACTGTGAAAATGGTTTATGAGCCTTTTTAAAAAAAGTCACTCATTGCAATTGCACAAAATTCCACCAGATTATTAAAATTAACATTCTAAGGCATCAGGGAACATATACTTTTACGCTGCACTCAGTTTGCCAGCAGCCTGAATAGGTGTGGTTTTTTCCATGGCCAATCCGACTGGCTGTTATTAAGGTTACGCAGAATCTGTTCCATTCCAAAAGCTAGCGGTAACAACAGAATTTCGCATGTTACTGCAGAATGAATTAAAACTGGCCGGTCAGATTCATAGCATACAGCTGCACATGTTTTTCGGGGCCTGCAGTTTTCTGAGATTTGTGTAACTATTAGTAAAGGTGAAGAATTGAGAAATGAAGGAAATTCCTATTAAGGGAGGGTCACCATTGACTAATGAGGCAGACACATTGAGCAAAGGACAGAAAAACTGATGGCTTCAGAAAGAAAGATATAAGTAGTTTATTTATCTCAGAAGATGTCATCTGGGGAGAGTATGGAATTCAGGAAAGGTTCAGGCAGCAGACAGTAACTAGGGAGCATTATTTCTGGAGGACAGAAACGCATTGTAATGCAACATATTTCTGAGATTAGACTTTCCTATTAAAAAACGTTGTGAAGATGTTGGCAGGGCATCACAGAGCCATAGGGACCCATAGATCCTGGCAGTCTTTGCTGTGGCTCCAGAGATGACAACTTGGAGTGGAAGAAGAGGAAGAAAGCAGAAGACTGGAAAAATATTTTGAAAGTTCTGCTCCAGCGTTTGCTGCTCTGGGAGAACCTAAGGGTGCTCTGAAGCCAGGTGGCTCATCCCACTCACCTCTGATAGAGCAGCACAGCTCTATGCCAGGCTGAGAAAAAGGCCTATGGCTTGTGTGGCTCAGTACAGAAAACCTCCTAGGAGAAAACCCAGGCGTGTGGGACATTCTCACTCCTCCTGATCTTAAATATTTTAAGGGTGGATGTCATGAGGATGGAGCCAGACTCTTCCCAGTGGTGCCCAGTGACAGGACAAGGGGCAATGGGTGCAAACTGAAGCATGAGGTTTCAGCTGAATATGAATTCTTTACTTTGAGGGTGACAAAGCAGTGGAACAGGCTGCCCAGGCAGGGGGGTTGTGGAGTCTCCTTCTCTGGAGATGTTCAAAATCCACCTGGATGATGTCCTGTGCAACCTGCTCTGGGTGAACCTGCTTGAGCAGGGGGGTCGGACTAGATGATCTCTGAGGTCCCTTCCAACCCCTGACATTCTGTGATCCTTTTATTATTTTCTGTGAAGCTGAGTGACACTGTTTTCAAACCTGCTCCCTCAAACCTGACAGCAAAACTGGTTCCTTTAGGGCTGCCGCAAAAGGAAGACTCAAAAGAGCTCAGAACAAGCACGGATAGCATCGGTCCATGGGCTTTTTTCTCCATGTGGGTTTAATTGCTGAGGAATGGTGAAAGCACAGCTACTTTTTCTTCAGCCAAAGCTGCTTGAGAATTTACTGACAGAGCTATTTTACAGTGAAAAATGAGGGGGTTGAATAATTTATATTTTACTGCAGAAAGCATCTGTACAGATTTTTCATAGGAAACCCATAAACCACAGTCTCTTTGCCTAAAAAAGGTATCATTTTCCTTCTTAACCAACTATTTTTCAGTTACCAAAACTCAAAATGTTTTGGTTGGTCTGTAAGAAGTGAAAAATTTCCACTGAAGGAAACAATTCTCCTGATGTTTCTCTCTGACAGCAATGAAATCAATACAGTGCTGCAGCCCAGGTGTGGAGGATCTCTCTGGAAGATCAGTGTGTAGAGCTGTCACATTTGGGTTTCAAACAGGAGCAGAACTAGGCCCAAAATTAATGCCGGGCCAGTGCAAAAAAGTTAGGAATGTTTTGTGGTGAATTTTTTTCCATATATGACTTCAGTTAGACCCTTGGCTCTCAGCCATTCTAAACAAAAAATCCTTTCAAAATTAGAGTGAACTTTGAAAGATACACGAGTGAGACAGACTGCACAAAAATAAAAGCACTGGATAGAGCTGCTAAATAATATCAAGTAAGAAGGAATGGCTCCTTTTACAGATTTTTCACAACATTCATGATATATGTCTCTCAGTCCATTATCTACATCTTTTTAATAGAGGCTTCAAGGAACATATTTTTTAATAATTTATAACACTTCTACTAGGAAAATATTATGACAAAGCATAGCTCAAAATACCCTTCTCCAAAATAAGGAGTACTATCCCATCCAGAACAGTAAACCCCATCATCTACTGGCAAAGAAAAATAACTTCAAGCGTAACTTGTTTAGTTCTAAGAAAAGATCATTGGTTTGGTATGCAAACATGCTCTTTTACTTACTTCTTGGTTTTAAAACATAACTTTAAAGCTTTACATAACATAGGGAATAGTTAAAGGCAGACTTATGTTGCCATGAAATGGAATTAGTAGAGTCTTACTCTTTACCTTAAATTGGCAAGCATTTGACTTTTTTACATACTTCAACATCTGCTGGAAACTGTAGGATGTTCCTGGAAAATACCTAAAGCCTTTTCACTATTTTTTTTCATTACTGGAAAAATACTACAGGAAGCACTGGTGCTAGCCTGTAAAATATAAATACCCACAGTAAAGTTGATTTCTGCAGAGGCAGTATTTGGAGGGTAAAATCCTGTATTGGAGAACCTGAACCTGAGTTGACCACTGCAGCCAGTGATTTTTTCTAGGTCATAACTGAATTTCGCATATCCACTTCCTAGGCCATTTGAAACAGAAGTATTTCATGGAGAAGTTGCACACGGTCCCCAGAGACGCCCTCTTTTCTCTGCAGCCCATCTGACACTAGCAAAACCTGTGGACACACTGTGTTCTGTCACTCTGGGGTGGAAAGTACTGAAGGCAAGGAGTGGCTGAAAGGTGCATATGAAACCAGATTAAAATAAAAAAGCAAGGTGAAGACAATTTGCTATTTCTCTCTACAGCCTTCCAAGAAAACTGTATGTACCTTATTTTCAAGAAAGATTCTTAAAGAAACTTGAAATTAGTGGTTGAATTTTGAGAAGCCTCATCCATGTGAAATAATTACGCTTTTCATCTATGAAACCATTCTGTCTAAAGCATGAAGCAAAACTGAGCTCTCTGGTAACCCCAGGAACATATTGCAAGCCTGAGTGATGTGAGCAGCACTCTCCTTAGCATGAGAAATAACCAACCACACCATTTTTCTACTGACAGAATGGTGGCTTGTGTATTTTTTTCAAAGCTTTCCAAAGTTCCCAAACTGACTTCCAACAGAAAACCAAATTGAGATCACAGTTTCAGTTCATACCTCTAAGGTGTCCAAGAGCACTTAAACATGGTCAGCATATATATAACTGGTGTCCGAAGCTCCTCTCTCAGGCACAGAATAACTCTATACCACAAAGCTACAGTCCCTTGTGCAAGAGATCAAGGTTCTTCAGTAACCTACTTTAACTGTGGATCAAATTTCAATAGGAACTAAGAACCAGCAGTGATTTACCCCAGCATCTGCAGCAAGTGCAAAATGTACTTCTTCTGTATCGTGTTCCTTAACCAGCTTGGTGTGTATGTTACAGAACAAAAGAAACATTACCAGAGCAAAAAGCATACCTTCATGCATACAGCTTTTCCTTAAGAGAGAAAATGAGAAAGAACCCAATGTAGCAGGTAGTTGCTTTGTTATGGGCTGCTCTACTGAAAATCACTCTGTTATTATATTGATGAAGTTGGTACAAGAAGTCATCAGGAACCAAACTGATCTGATTTGGTTGTCAAGACTATGACGAATCACTCTGCTGCATTTTTTTACAGAAGGAAGTATCTAATGGAAGAATCATCTAATTGTGAAAAATTAGCTGCATAACAGAGAAGGACTAGAATTTGTTTTGTATCCTTACTTGCATCTAGAGTTTATAAGCTTTGCCTCTGTGGAAGAATTCTGGATCAATAGCTAACATTTAGTAATTAATGAACTAACTAAGTCCAACTATTCTTACTGTGATAAGGGCCTCCAAGGCTGGGATCTTCCATCAGTCTCCTGTTTTCAAGGACTGTGACTGTATATCCATGTTTTGCCAGGATGCGCTGGCAGAGCTGACGGTCGGTTTCACGGTGGGCAGGAGGTGCGTACAGAAGCGCTCTTCTTGTACGGCTTCCAAAGTACTGGAGAATGGAGTCGTTGATCTACAGCAAACACAATGCAAAGACAATGGTTGTAAGATAGGACACTCCTCAGCAGTATAATATATAGTTGTTATTTTTCTAAAACAACTTTCTTTCACAAAAGAAACTAGTAACTTACTGTGAAAATCCGGGAAATATTTCTGGTACAATTAAGAATTCTCTTTGTATGAGAGCACAAATTCTATTTTGTTTGCTTCTCTGTTTCTCCTGCCTACATTTGGGACTGATACTGCAAGGGTTTGAAAGCTCAGGGTACCAATGGAGGATCTTTAAACTGTGGTCTTCCCTTCATGGAAACACCTTTGGTTGAACTCTGGCCTGCTCTGGTAAGTGGGTAACAGCACTTGCCAGGTGACTTTGTGGTGTCAGGCTGACTCGTGGGTCACCTAGCAGAGAGGACTTGGTGGGGCCCATGTTAACCGTTCTAAGGAACGTGGGTCCTACACTGATGGTAAGTGTAGGGGACCGAGTTCTGCTGTGCAGCTTGATTAAGGAAGAGTACTGAGGTAAAAGTGTGCAGAGGAATCCTAAACAGTACTGTAGATTGCTGTGCCTCTAGAAAATTAAATGTAACCTTGTCAGTACCTTATTGCCTTATTAGTCTAACACAAGCCAGCCCAGGAGGACTGGTAGAGAGACTTGTATATAGGAGCAAGTGGAAAGGTGTATGATGTCTCCAATGAATCCCAAGGAACTCTTGGGTTGTCTGCCATTCACTGACTTCCCACAGAGCGCCTTGGGACAATGGCATCTAGAGAAAACCCTTCCTCTGTATAATAACCTGGGATATGAGCTGCTTGCAAGGAAAAATGGAGGAGAGCCACCCCAAACACAGAGAGGTAGTGTGAGCTGGACATTAAGCTCTGAAAAGAGTGAATTACAGGGCCACTGTCATCAGGTCTTTGGAAAAGGGAGATATCTTATGTTTTACATGAGGCATAAAAATAGGATGCTCCATGTGGGAAACAGATCACTAATATCTGGAACAGTCTAGCTGTTCTTTTGCAATAAAAACACCATTAACAGACAAGAAATACTTTAGTGAAAAGTATTTGTCTTTAGGATTGAAACATGCCAGCATTTAAGGGATTCAATACAGGACTTGATTTTAGTTCTTGTCAGGTTCATGAGTTTCAACATAGCAGTAGTCTGCAGTATGTCCTTTAAAAACTACGTTATTCCATAACTTCTAATTTTAGTGAGCTTATCACTGGACATAGAAAGTGCTACACAAACAAGGCACCACCATTTTTTGCACAGTAGACCCACATTGAAAAAGAAACAGATGCTTTGATATAAACAAATGTCATTCAAGATGCGTCCAGTTGTTTATAAGCCTGGGATCTAGTGATAAAGTCGCTCTTCTCAGCAGCCTGTTCCCCAGTTGAAGGATGCAGTGTTATGTTACACTTGGCTGAAGCCTCAGCTTCTCCACGGCAGTGAGGAGCATGAACTATTCCAGAGCCCTGAGCCTCTAACGCTACATCTGCTGTTGCTCCAGAGCAGATATCCCCCATGGAAAGAGTTAGCATCATCGATGAGGGGACCCTGAAGGATATCTCTGTACAAGACTGGCAGAGTCTTCGGTGTATATTTGCTAAATGTGCCAACCCAAACTACTGTAGACACTGGGATATTCAAGTAAAGGTTGATCACGTGCTGGCCGGAAGAAGCACAAATAGCACAGGGTGAAGTCACAGGAACTGCGTTAGATAACCTGTCAGATGTCCTCCCCGGCGCCCCAGTATTTTTAAAGCACTTTAATTGGGTAGCAAGCACGGCATTAGAGCATCTCAGATTGCCACAGCACCCGCCATTCTTCCCCCTTCTGCCTCTGCCCGCCCCTCCCTCCTCTCCTCTTATCTTCTCTTTCCTGCTCTCCTGCAGCACCAGCAGCTGCTGGCAGCCCTTCCTCTCCATTTCCCTCCCTCCCTGTTCCTAAATCCAGCCCTTGTCCCGGCCCCCTCCTGTGCTCCTGCTCCCTCCTCCTCCAGGCAGTGCAGCCAGACACTTCCCACTTGCCAGTTCACTTGCATTGCAGAAGAAAAATCAGGAGGGAGACACCTCTCGCTTTATTTTGCAAGCAAATCCCATTTTCCATCCCACGTGCGCTGCAGTGGCCAGCGTTGCGGGGTGAACCGAGGACACGTGGGGAGCGCAGAGGGGCTGCAGCCCAGGGCACATCCCCCTCCCTTTTTCGCTGGTGATTACAGCTTGTCCAGCTCCCGTGCAGCTGAGGGTGCTCGCTGCCCAGGGCCAGGCTCCCGCCAGGGACTTGGTGGCACTTTGTGTGCGCCCCTCCTCACTAATGGTTATTGCGCTTTTTCACGCTAGGAAAAAAAAACCACCTTTCTTCACAAAAGCAAAGCCCCCTGCAGTGCCAGTCCTTCATCGTTTTGCTTCAAACAACTTTTTGCTTCTAGCTCAAGCAAGCTGAGGGTGCTCGCTGCCCAGGGCCAGGCTCCCGCCAGGGACTTGGTGGCACTTTGTGTGCGCCCCTCCTCACTAATGGTTATTGCGCTTTTTCACGCTAGGAAAAAAAAACCACCTTTCTTCACAAAAGCAAAGCCCCCTGCAGTGCCAGTCCTTCATCGTTTTGCTTCAAACAACTTTTTGCTTCTAGCTCAAGCACCCAGCAATGACTTTCTTTCCCCCCCACAGGCAACCCCCCCAGGGCAGCTCTCCCAGGGCTCACCCCAGCCCAGCCGCGCTTGGCAGCCCACGCCCGGTGCAGCAGGCCATGGCAGCCTCGGGAGCCGCCTGGGCCTGGGGCACAAGCTGTGCCCCCCACCGCTGCCTCGCCTGGCTGGGCAGGCAGAGGGAC